AGTTAGTAGCTGATAACAAACCATTTGTGTCCCTCAATGGTCTCCAGGAATCAAAAATACCTCCCTCCCCAACCACTGAGTCGATTCCAACTCATAGCAACCCTATATATAGTTTTCAAGGTTATAAATCTTTATGGGAGTAGATAGCTTCATTTTTCTCCCTCAGAGTAGGGTTTGAACTGCTTACCTTGTGGTTAGCAGTTCAATGTTTATGCAATAGTGTCACCAGGAGTCATTTAGGACAGGAAGCAATATCATTCTAATTTATGATGAATAAATTGAAGCTCACAGAAAGAGGGTGGGGCAGATGCTAACACTGATGGGATTTGAACCCACACCTTATCTTCCCCATCCTTGTTTCCACTTCCCACTGCACTGCCTCTCCTCCACATAGCACCATCAAAGTGTCTGAGACTTTAATGAACTCCAGTCGGAGCTTGGCCAACGATGGGCAATCTGAATTTACACAGGCTGCTTGTCTGTCTTTCTTTCACAGTTTTCTTGGCACTTCACCCACATATCATACAATTCAATAGTTAAATCATATCCAGAAGAGTTGTACAATCATGACCACAATCAGATTTAAAACATCTTCTACTTCCTTGTCTTCATTGTTATTTGTATAATTTTTTTTTTTAGTTGTGGCAAAAATAGACACAATAAAACATTCTCCAGTTCAACAACTTCTACGTGTATAATTCAGTGCCACTGATTATACCCTTTGTGTTGTTAGGACCATTATTGGTAGCCCTTTCCAAATGATTTCACCACCATTAACATAAACTCAGTGCCCTCTAAGCAAACTCTCTTCTTCCTTCACTCATGGCAACCATTGATCAAGTTCTTTTCCCCCCCTCAGTTTTCTTGATAGAGTATTTACATATCAAACACTTAATTAAGTCATTTTTAAAAGAGCTATAGATATATCATCACAATCAGTTCTAATGCCCTCTCCCCTCTAGAGGCTGCTTTTCCTCTGTTCCTCTCAATTCCCTCATCTGTAAAATGTGAGGTTGGACAAGCTCATAATTCAAATTCCCATAAAAATGAATGGTTCATCTTACCCTTCCAAGGCCCTGAGAGTCAAATATTAGCATATCCAATTATCAGGCAAGGAAACCCAATACCAGTGTGGTCAAAAGGGTTGCTTCAGGTCACATAGCTGGGACAAGCCAAGACTACAGACCTGGCCTTCAGACCCCAAGCCCTGTAGCTCTTTTTATTGGACCACATTCACAGCTCATTCCCCCAATGTCCTGACCCAGATTAGGCTACAGCCTACAGGACTAGCTGATGGGGCTTGATAAGGTTCCCAGAAGGCCCGATAACCCAGGCCAAGTTTGGAAAGAGAGTGCAGGCCTCAAAGCTTGGGTCAAGCACAGCTCAATGGTTTATTGCATTCCCATTTCTCTTCAAGTTAGCTTCCAAAAAAGAGCGCTGTCTGGGTGTCACATGGGACTGGGCGGGGAGATCACAAGAATCCAGTAACGGATTACTATGCTCTGAATTACAAACATAAAACGCATTGCCCTGAAGTCAATTCTGACTCACAGTGGCCATATAGGACAGAGGAAAACTGCTTTTGTGGGTGTCCAAGGCTGTAAATCTGTACAGGAGCAGAGAGCCTCATCTTTCTCCCAAGGAGCAGCTGGTAGATTCAAGCTGCTGACGTTGCAAGTAGCAGAGCAACATGTTACACGCTAACGCCACCAGGGCTCCCCCAGAATATGTGTTGTACATCCTAACCACTATGCCTAGGTATTAATCCTATTTGGGAATAGGTTGTCTTTGTTATATTAGTAAGGCAGGGTTGGTGTAAGCTATATTTTGCGACTCTTTTGAGATATAAAAAAAGATGAAACAAGGGAGTAGAGGTGAAGATGGGGTAAGAAAATGCTAAAACATGGGCAGCTCTCCAAGAACCGTGGAAGCAGAAGTTGAAGCTCTATGGACCTCTTCCAGTGCCAACCGAGCAAGCATTCCCCAAGAGCCCATGCTCGGAGTTCCAACATCTCTCCTCCTAAACCATGAGAAATAAAGGTCTGTTCGTGGAGGCTACTCACTTGTGGCATACCTATTATAGCGGCACTAGATAACTGAGAGAGGGGCAAAAGAAAATAATGAGTTGCCTCATAGTTCAAGGTCCTGGGTGGTACAGAAAATGAAGCGCTGGACGACTAGTGGTAAGGCTGACAGATCAAAACTCAGGGGTGCCGTGGATGAAAGACCTGGCCATCAATCAGAATGGGCACAGCCTTGAAACTTTGTGGGGCACAATCCTTCTCTGGCACAGATGGGCCAGCTGTTGTGAGCTGGAAGTGACCCAACAGGCTTAGGATTTTTGGTTTTGGGTCCATGGGCTTCAGTCAGCGGGGCCTTTCAGAAGGAAGAGGGTTCTAATGAGGAGGGGAAGGAAGCTCTTCTCCCCCTACCCCCCACCCCGTGTTCCTCTGTTTCTGAAAGGCCTGCCTGAGGCAAAGAACACCAAGAACAAGGAAATTATCTGAGTCGTGAACTCACAACATTCCATCTCAGCTCCCTGGGCCCGAGGGCGCCACCCCGGGGGCTTTCACAGCAGGAAGCATGAGCTCATAGCAAACTTGTGGACTGAGACCCATTCTTGAGCTCTGGGGTACAGAAGGGGCAGGAGGCATCATCAGAAGAGAGCAATTTTGTGAAGTCTTCAAGGCTAGGAGCTTTCTAAGTATGACTGTACCCACCCCTAACCCCATCGCCCAGAGAACGGGGCATTGTGCTTGGGATCTGTAGATTTCCAGAAGCTGGGGAGAAGGAATTACTAACATGCCAGCTGCCTACACTGCCAACTCCTTATCCTTAGCTGGACCTCAAGGGCAGTCTTCACAGCAAACCATCCTCATTTCTCTATTCCTCTTGCCCTTCGATACTTGATCCCTCCAACTATCCAGAAATCCTCCCCAGTCACCTAGTCACAGCGCTAGCATTTCTTAAAAGCTTACTGCCATTGGGCCACTATGATTCATAGTGACCCTGCATAGGGCTTCCCAGACTTTAAATCTTTCAGGGAGCTGACTGTCTGGTCTTTCTCCTGGGGAGCAGCAGGTGGGGATCAACTGTGGGCCTTGCAATCAGCAGCCCACTGCTTGCCTAGCTCACCCCCAGACCACTCCCGTCAACACGTAACTGCCCTGTGTCCTTTTCGTCCCTCAGGGGTGATCTGATAAACTGACGGTTGTAATTGCCATTAGTTGTCATTAAGTAGATTCAGAAAAGTGGAGACTCTGCTTTTGCAGGGTTGAACAGTTGACCAGAGACTTCTGAAAGGCTGTGGACCTTTCAAAAGCAAATCTCTGGGTCTTCAGAGGCACCCCTGGGTGGGTTCAACCCTCCAGCCTTTCAGATGGTAAAGAAATGCTCAATGACCTGCTTCCAGGGGACTCCTGATGATTGAAAAAGCTTGTCACTGTCTTTGTCTTGCTAGATGTTCTTGAAGCCTGCAGCAGTATCTTACACAAGAGGCCATGTGGGAGTCTGGTTCTGAGTGACCTTGGGGACAGAGAGCCCATTGCTGTCCTCCACATCACATTGTCCAGGTGCCCATGTCACTAAAGTCCCTAATGCTTGGCCCCAGAGGCACAAGGCTACTGCTGTTCTCTCCAGAGTCCCACCTTTTAGTTCCTTCTCCTTCCCCTCCCTTAGCAGCTTAGATGCTGTATGAAGGTCACTCTGATCTTAACCTCGGCACTACTGGCATTATGGGCTGGATAATCCTCTGGGTGAGTCCCACAGCATCCTTGCTTTCTACCCACTAGATGCCAGTAACACTCCCACCCCGTTTGTGATCATCGAAAATGTCATTAGACAAAGCTACGTACGTATGTGTGTGTAATAGCACTCCTAGTTGAGAATCACTGCTTTGATCCTACTAACTCCACACGAAAAGCTAGCAAACCATGAAATATGGATGATTCACTCCTTTAAATGCCCATTAGGGGTGTGTGGCAAAGACAAACTGAAAAGCCGATTGAAAAGCCCTTTTTTTAATGACAGATATTTGACTGTGCAAACGTCCCGCCTCAAAACCACTGTGGGGGAGGGAATGAAGGCAGCAGCAAAACAGAAAAGCAAGCAAACAAACTCGATAGCTTACAATCGCTTTAAAAAAGCAAGCTACGATTAGTGGTTACCAGAGGCAGGGGGAAGTGGGGAGTTATTGCTTAGTAGGTACTAAGCATCTGTTTGGCGTAATGAGAAGTTTTGGAAAGAGATCATGGTGCTTTATAATGTTATGAATGTACCGTATATACTTGTGTATAAGCTGAGTTTTTTCAGCACATTTTTGATGCAGCATTTGTGGTAAAATTAGGTGCCTTGACTGATATTCTGGTCGGCTTATGCACGAGTATATATGGTAATAACGTCGCTGCTTAAAAATGGTTAAAATAGTGCATTTTATGTACATGAGGAGGCTTCAAAAATTTCATGGAAAAAAATGGAAGTACAAGATAAAATATTATACTACAATAGGAAGTTTAAACATTTTAAAGGCACATAACAAAATTTGTGTGCAAGGAGGTTGTAACTCTGGAAAGCTCATGCACAGAGAGGAAATAAAGACATGGGATCAGGTGAGATGACAGGGTTTGGGGAAAATAATTTCTTTCACTTAAGGTTTTGTTAAAATGTGGATAAGTATCATTAGGTGTCCCCAGATGGTCCAGAGAGTTCACTTGCATGGCCAGAAGCACCTCAGAAGAAAGACCTGGCAATCTATTTCTGAGTTCCAGCCACTGACACCCTACAGGGCAAAATCCCACTCTCACACACCTGGGGTCACCATGAGTCAGAACTGACTCGGTGACAACTGATTTTTTGGTTTGTTTTTTGTTTTTTAATTAACATAAAGTGAGGAACATGCACCTTGTATCATCAGGGGAAGCAAGGACTTCTGGCTTTACCAGCGCCATCACTTGCCAAATGGCAACTGGATAGGGCAGGTGCTTCACCGAGATTGAACTTACCTCAGACTTCAGCCTGGTAGTTTGAGGGCTTCCACTTGGGGTATAGTGGGTTTCCGTGTAGGTTGAAGCAAACAGGTCCCTGCAAAAAAACAAAGGCGAAATTTGTATCTTTGGTTGGTAACCCCAAACCTCCTGGCAACAGCAGTCAGTGACTTTAACTGAACCAGACAGCCCCACCCAGAAACCGGGCTGAGGACCAAAAAGAAAAAGAGGGAGGCATTTGTTATTATTTGGGTATCCATTGATAGCATCATTTAGTTCACGCATGACCAGATGAAGTAGACAAGACTGAAATAATGGTTCCTAACATGTTCTTCGTCCTGGGGAGAAACAGATGCAAACCTGTGCACAATGTTCCAGATTCATGAACTCTATTGCACACCTCAAGTGATTTGTCAGCATGGAGCCAGTCCACCAATTCTTAGTACACCCCATTAATTTTTTTAAAGGGAGAAACCCAACCCTTGCTGCAAGTAGTATAGTAGGACTGTCAATCAAGGTATTCTATCTGGTCCTGGCAAAGGGTGGCCCATGATCTAAGTCAAGTCAATGAATTAATGTAGCAATGGCTGAGCAGATGAAACAGATTCACTTGGTCCTTTGTCCCTGCCACATGGCCTCCTAGAACTGCCTTTGCCTGTTCTTTCAGAGACTTGGGAGTTCAAGTTGCCTATAGCTGATCATTCTGTACATCGCTCTCTCGTAAAACCCCCACTGCTAAAACTGAACGCTGCTTTCTCTCTTGCCCTAGAGCCTTTTTAGTTGAATTAAGAATTCCTCACCAAAGACAAGGCAATACAAAATAAGGTTCCTATAATTTCTCTTCATAGTAAAAAGAAAAAAGAAATTAATAAAATGGATGCCCCAACCAGCTCTGCCACATTAAAAGCAAAACAGATCTAGAGCAGTCAGTCAAGGGGACAAGAAGGGTTCTAATGGAAGGCGCCATTAAAAGTCAGCGTTGATATCAAAAGAACAGTGTGAGTGTGCTTGTACTGATGTGCAAAGGTGTCTAAAATGGAATCAGAAAAAAATTAGTTAAAAATAAATAAATAAATAAAATGGAATCGGATACAGACAGTGTACTGTGTGATAAAAGTCCATTCTGATGAAAACATAATAATGGCATACAAGACAGCATGCATTAAAAACAAGCAGAGTAACAAATGCTCATCCATAATGGTGTTTTTCTCAGGGGATTAAAGAAAATGTCCATTTCATGGATTCACTCAACTTTTTCCCTATGATCATGAATTTAATTTAAAAGCTAAAAGACCAATTTACAACTGATTTTAAAAAGAAAATGGAGGCCAGGTTTTGGGAGAGAAGTCACGTCTCAGGAAGAGCGGGTCAGTTGAAAGAGACCCTCTAGCAGCCCTCAGCTCTTGGCTCAGGGATCCTGACTCTTAGATTCCTGGTCACGCATCATCTCCTGTAACCCATCAAGCCTTCACCAAACAAGAAGGAGACCCAGCGGGAGACTGGGGAAATGAAGCAAAGCATAGAAACGCAGCTTGTGTAAAGCAGTTCTCAATCGTGAGGAAAATGTGTGTCAGTGGCTAAGGGACCTGATTTGGTCTTCCCAGCCCCTTTGTCTCTCTTTAGCATCTAATCAGGATCTGAGGGAGGACTCGCCCATTTGTCCGTAAGCATCCCCAGAGAAAGAGGCTTGACATTGGTTCAGGGCAAGGACCAATGAACTAATCACTGGATGGATGAATTAATGAGTAGTTCAGCATACTAAAAGCATGAGTGTGGTCTGGAGTCAGAGAGACAGAGGCATTAATTTTAGTTCTGACATTTACTATCTCTGGCCATGAGCAAGTTACATCTCTGTTTTCCTAGTTTGGAAAAAAAAGAGAGAGAGAAATACGAGGGGGTACTCCGCCCCCCCCCAAAAAAAAAAACTGGATTTTTTTTCCCAAGGCTATGTTTTCATTTATTTATTACAAAACAACCTTATCACCTTCAAAGTACTCTCCAGTACATTGTGAATACATTTGTCAAATCTGTGATTCCATCCTTGGAAACATTTTTCAAACTAATCTGTTTGGATGGCTGACAGAGCCTCGCTCATTTATTTTCTTCACCTCTTATACATTGTCATATCGCTGTCCTTTCATGCCCCTCTTCATTAGAGGAAACAAAAACAAGCCACATGGAGTGAGGTTAGGTGAGTCAGGTGTGTGGGGCAAAAGAGGCACGCTGTTTTTT